CTTCCCCCTGCCCCAGCCCCTGACCCCCACCCAGACCGGGGGCACTGCACTGACCCCTCCAAGGCCAGCCCCCGCCAAGCCAGACCTGCTGCACCCAGACACCAACGGCTCCGGCAGCACCCTGGGGGAAGCACCCCAGCCCACCTCAGCACTGTGCCCGGCCCCCGCCCCCCCAACCACCACCAGTGCCCACAGCTGGTGCTGGAAGGGGTCTGTGAGGCAGCAGTGGAGCAGACTGGGGGTGGCCAGGGCCAACAAGGACAACCCTGGAGGCAGCAGACCTGTCCCAGCTCCAGCAGGGATGGGGCTCCAGGTACCAGCCCAGCTTCCACCCCCTCCCTGGCCCATCTCTGCATCATGAGACCCCCAGGAACAGCACAGAGCTGGGGGTGAGACCACATCACAGGCCTGGTGCTGACAGCTCAGCACCTGTGTAACCAGCTAGGCTCTCCCAGCAGGATCCAAGCCTGAGCTGGCTGGGGGCACCCACCTCCAACTTCTTCTCCATCAGCTGCCAGCTGGCCCCACAGCCAGGCAGCCTTCCCACACAGCAGCACCATCCCCTGGGATGTCCCCACACACCCCACATGGCCTCAACTGCCCCGAGTCCTGCCCACGTCCCTGCTGAGCCAGATTCTCCACAGACAATAAACAAGAGGCCACAATGGGATGAGCAATTTTAATGAACAGTTTCAGCCACTGCAGTGGTCAAAAAGAGACAAGGCACTAGTATTCCTCCCCCTCCTCCTCGCCCTCCATGCTGTCAGCTCCCACCTCCTCGTAATCCTTCTCCAGGGCAGCCATGTCCTCCCGCGCCTCCGAGAACTCCCCCTCCTCCATGCCCTCCCCCACGTACCAGTGCACGAAGGCACGCTTGGCGTACATCAGGTCAAACTTGTGGTCCAGGCGGGCCCACGCCTCGGCAATGGCCGTCGTGTTGCTCAGCATGCACACGGCCCGCTGCACCTTGGCCAGGTCCCCCCCGGGAACCACCGTGGGCGGCTGGTAGTTGATGCCCACCTTGAAACCCGTGGGGCACCAGTCCACAAACTGGATGCTGCGCTTGGTCTTGATGGTGGCAATGGCTGCATTGACATCTTTGGGCACCACGTCGCCACGGTACAGCAGGCAACAGGCCATGTACTTGCCGTGGCGAGGGTCACACTTCACCATCTGGTTGGCCGGCTCAAAGCAGGCATTGGTGATCTCTGCTACAGAGAGCTGCTCGTGGTAAGCTTTCTCAGCAGAGATGACAGGGGCATAGGTGGCCAGGGGGAAGTGGATACGGGGGTAGGGCACCAGGTTGGTCTGAAACTCGGTCAGATCGACATTCAGGGCCCCATCAAAGCGCAGGGACGCCGTGATGGAGGACACGATCTGGCCTATCAACCTGTTGAGGTTGGTGTAGGTGGGGCGCTCGATGTCCAGGTTCCTGCGGCAGATGTCGTAGATGGCCTCGTTGTCCACCATGAAGGCACAGTCGGAGTGCTCCAGGGTGGTGTGGGTGGTGAGGATGGAGTTGTAGGGCTCCACCACAGCCGTGGACACCTGAGGTGCCGGGTAGATGGAGAACTCCAGCTTGGACTTCTTGCCATAGTCGACAGACAGGCGCTCCATGAGCAGGGAGGTGAAGCCGGAGCCGGTGCCCCCACCGAAGCTGTGGAAGACCAGGAAGCCCTGCAGGCCTGTGCACTGGTCAGCCTGTTGAGAGAGCCCCAGTTGGGTTTGGACAAGTCAGCCATGACACCACACCCTGGTCCTTCCAGGACAGGTCTAGCAGGAGCCTCCTGCCCCAAGCGAGGCCGTGGGCAGCAAGCTCCAAGCCTTTGATCTGCCAGGAACACCCTGAGCAGAGCAGCAGGTCCCACCAGCCTGGGCGCCAACCCCAGCGTGAGAACCAAGGTTCAAAGAGCTCGGGAAGCTTCACCAGTTCAACCAGCCCCTCCGGGGCACCCACACAACAGAGCCATGCAGCTCTCCTCCCCCCAGGCACAAGGCAGCCCGTTCTCCCCTTCATAGCCCAGCCACACTTGAATGGAGCTGCATTGCCACTGGGGTGAGCGTGCTGGTGCGTGGGGTACCAGGGATGGGCACGGACGGGGGCCAAGAGCAGCACAACCTGCAGCTCCCTCTGCCCCAGGCACCACCCACATCCCTCCCCAGGGCTCAGGTGCCACCCTTTGCCCTTAGGCTGATGCAGCCCATCACCTCGCCCAGGTCCAGGATGAGCTGCTAATCGCCCTCCTGCAGAGCCATTTACCTCCCCAGAGCAGCCCAGGCCACAAAGGCACCTTGAGCCCCCATTTCTCAGTCACTCACCAGCTTGCGGATGCGGTCGAGGACCAGGTCGATGATCTCTTTGCCGATGGTGTAGTGCCCTCGGGCGTAGTTGTTGGCCGCATCCTCCTTGC